GAGCAGGAATGAAAACCTACTGTCTTAGCTGAAACATCTTCTTTACATTCTCTTTTTAAAGAAATGTTTTTCTTTTGTATAAGAAAAACCCATTAAAAGTGAATTTATCACACTTTTGTTCTAAATTTAAACCCACTAAACACTTTTCCAACTGTGTTACATGCTACTGGGGAAAATTACCTCTTCATTTTCTGTTTAACATCCAAAAGTTAATTTTTAAATGACTCTTTCTTAGTTTTCCCACTGGATTTTTCTTTGGTTTGTCTCCAGCTGTGCCTTCGCCAACACCCCCAAGTACAGCCAGGTGAAATCAGCAGGCGGTATCATCGTGAGGAAAGAATGGGTGATGGACTGCCATAAGAGGAAACAGAAAATCTCATATAAACGGTAAGAATGGACATTAGATATTATGTATTATCTATAATATAATATTTCTAAGGACATGTATTTAAACTCTGCTTAATTTTAGGGTTTTTTTTCTCTGACCCTTATCTTAAATTGGTAAAAAAAAAAAAAAACTATTCAATAATAATTTATACCAACTTATACGAAAGGCTTAAATCATGATACATTTTTTCTGTTATATTGCAGAATATGCTATAATGCCATTATAATATACAATAATAAGAAAAGCAACTACTAGCTTCTAAAATTGGAAATGTTTTAGATAAAGATAAAAAAAACATATCTCAATAGTATAGCTGCTATAAATAAAACTCCCTAAAAATTCTTTTTTGGTTCCTTAAGGCGGTTTGATCTTGTTCCTTTTTTTTTTTTTTTCAGTTGTTTTTTTTTCTGAGGACACTATTGTATTTATCAGTCTTCTAAAGATGATACTCAAAGTTTAAAATGTTTTTTATTATAAATCTGGGAGGAATTTGTTAATTTTTGGGGCATTTAAAGTAGAAAATCAAACACCAGATCATGATTATTTAAGGAGATTGAAATAGTCAGTTTGTCACATAAAACTGTTTCTTTCTATGCTGCATGACGTGTGACTGTTGTGTTGATCTCATAGAATCAACATCTTTATGTTCAAATTGTCAACTTTTGATTAATTATGCAATAATGGTTTAGTAGATCTTTTTATTTCATCAAATGAACTGTTAACTTCCTCTCTGACAGACCGTCTTTCGTTGTTGCAGTTTTGTCGCCATCCAAAAGAGGGTGCTGCTGTTTATTCTTAAGCAGAGGCAGACTTTGATAGTTACCGTAATAGAGAACTAATCAGACCAGAGGTGTGTTATAGCTGAGACATACAACACTCGTGACAAGGATGGAAAATTGACGTTGTGTCTTTCTGTTCGTAAATATAACGCTTGACAATCCCTCTAAGTTATTCCCTAACAGGCACCCGTTCAGCCCAGTAGTGTCAGCCAAACCAAAGATTACCAGTGTAAGAGGATGTAATGATGGATAACTGAGGTCCATTTTGGAAAATATTTGTAACATGATTGACAAAAACAAAAAACATGACACCACTAAGCATAGCTGAATTTGTGGGCTTTCTTCATGGAGCCCAGTTTTAATGTTCCCTTAGCCCAACAATACCCTGCAGCTTAGAAGCACTGTTAAGAGTTGGTCCCAATGAATGTTGGATTTCCCTTAAGTACACTGTGCGATTTTTTTCAATCGTTGCACGCAGCTACTGCTCACACTGTACGACTAAACCGCAGGGTTTAGTTTTACAGTGTGAGTTCACAGCTCACGATTTATGTTCAGCCCGACGCTCTCATGCGATCTGCCTACTCACACTGTGCGACTAAAAACCACGTCGGACTGAGATCCGCAGTGAGATGGAGCTGCTCTGACTCATCTATCTGGAAGCCAAACAAATAGAAGAGGAATATTAAGCTCACTAGAGTGAAACGCGCTGCCTTGGCAATTTGTGCAAAAGAAAAGGCGACAACATATTTGGAAAAAAGACATGGCTGAGCAAATGTGACTACTGCGGTCTGACAATTTTACGGACATAAGTGCATTTCATTCATTGTATCCCTGCCATGCTGCTGTGTTTACATCTGAGAGGAAGAATGAAAAGAAAAATCCTTCTTTGCACATGCGCCCTGAGTGATTTGCCCACGACGGTGCCCTCACGATTCCTGATCGGAAGGCGGGCGTGAGAGGCTGATCGCCGCTCGTAACTACACTACACGACTTATGACGCACGATCAGGCTGAAAGTCAATCGAAAGATTCTTGCACAACTGTAAATTGCCCCAAAAATCGCCCAGTGTACGCCCGGCTTTAAATTAAAAGCCACATACTGTCCACTTTATTCACACTAAACGGCAAGTAAAGTTGACCTACTCTGTGCACAAATATGTAAAACCACCATTTAAATACAGAGGATTACAAGTTTACACAAATTTTATTCTATTTAACCTCTTCTGTTTAAATTGAATGCAACCACTTTGTTGATAATGAATTGGTCAGTTGTTCTCGTACCTGTTGTTGATTATTGTTTGAGTAATATCACTTGATAAAGCTTTTTCTAACATTCCACAGAGTAACATTGGTAGCAAAGTATATATGCTTCTAGCTAATATGGCATTGAGTCAATAACGTTGTTGGTCAATACACAAAGCTGCTATATCGGCAACGTATCTGAAATTAAAAGTTGGATCGAGAAATCCCAGATTTAATTTTCTGATTTTAATTTTAGCTTATTTAAAAAAACAAAAAAAAACAAAAAAAAACCCCATCATGTTATAGAGAGATCATCTTCATCAAAGAGGAAACTCAAGTTTTTAAGAAAATATATATAATCAATTAATCATTAATCGATAAGTAGGATCAATCAACTTTAGATTAACTAGTTTATCGACAACTTCCATCTTGTCCTTTTAAAGCGTTGCCAAAATCCAGGACTACACTTACATTAGGAGACAGGCACCAAAAAGCCATAACAGTGGAGAGGCTGGAGAAGAATAAACAGAGACTGGCGGAATGAGTCTTCTGGGAAAGAGAGATCTGTCTGCTTTTTCAACAGTGGGAGGAAGTCTGCTGGATGAGAAATTATGAAACATCAATTTAGATTGTGCAGTTCTGCACAAGGCAGTTTGATTTGATTTGAGGTTTTTAAAGAAATAATAGGATATGGCTCTGAAAGCTATCAGAGACAAAGCCTGAACCGGCATCCCTATAATATGACTATTGAAACTATTGAAGTATCGGCACTAAAACAAAAACATATTAGGTATGTCCAGACTCTTGACATCACTAAAAAAACTTCACCTTGTTTATGCATTTGTCATTAATCTTTTTTTGTTTTCCCGTGTGAATTGTGCAACAACTCCATGTTGATAAATAAGGGTCTTGTACTTTGAGTACTGGTTGCTTCCAAGCACCAGATTTCTGTCTAGATGTGTTTATTAATACACTGTAGTTTGCAAGAGTTTCAACATGGTTATAAATCACTACTAAAAGTTGCAGCATCCCAAGTTCTAATTGGTTTCAAAGCAACATTCATCAGTAACAGTGTTTTGTATGTAGTGCAAAAATCATTAGGTCCTTTTTTAAAATATAGAACAAAGTTGTAAAAAAAATGTAAAATCTCATGCTAACATCAAATACTTTAAAGTGAACAGACTATTAATTTCAGACCTGCAGAGCTGCTGGGGCGACTCCAAATGAGCAGCTGGTAGGGATTAAGAAGCACAGAACATGTGACTGCAGTATGACTCCATGTCTGATTAGAACTCTCTTTTAGCCGTGTCTGTTCTTCTGCCTGGTGCACTTCGTCCTCCACAATCTCCCTGATTGAAACATCCAGAAATACTCCCACCACAGCAGGGATGCCCACTTGGTGCAGAGAGAAATGTAACCTTGAGCAAGCGATCCCCGCTGCGATCACAAATTCTGCCCACTGAGCTCCAGCAGCTCTCTAATTATAGGCCTCATTATGGGGGGGCGGTTAGCAGCATCAAGGGTCAGTGTCTTGGTTGTTGATTAATCTGTGTGTACTAAATAATGTAGGCCTGAAGTCTCATTTTGGACGTTGGGAGATCAGATTGTGTTCATTTTTATGAAGTTTACACACACACACACACATACCACCATCCACTGTTTCCCATAAACTCTGGAAAAACAATTAAAAATCTGAGACATCAAAGTCTCTTACTTTCCTTTTTTACAAAAGGATGCCCTTTTTTTTTTTTTTTTACCCCTTTTAAGAAAAATGACTTCATTAATGATCCATTTAAATGGACACAGAGTAAACAGCAGTAATTTGTGTTTCTGAACCATTTCAGTCTTACAAAGTTTAATAACTAGCTTAAAAATGCTTAAGGTTTGAACTTTTTCCACAAATAAATGTGTATTTTATATTTTACATAAGCCAAGTTTGATGTACAACTCTTTTCAATAAATAAGTATACTATTGAAAAGTTAATTTCTCTAATTAAATAAATTCACAAAGTGAAGCTCATACGCCATTTATACAAAGACCGCTTATTTTTGTTTGTTTAATATAAAGATTTTCTCTTTAAATCTAATAAAATTGAACCTAATATTAGTGCTGCAACAATTATTATGTTAGAAATAGATTCACTTAGTGATTATTATAAAAATAGATTCACCAAGTGATTGTTTTATTTTTCATCCAAAAATGGATACTGAAAATTAGTATATTAAAAAAAACTGTTCTTATAAAAATGCACATATTAAATTCACTTTGAATGAGTAAACAATTAGAAAACACTATATTTTTATATATATATATATATATATTTTTTTTTTTTTTTAAAAAGGTCCTCTACCAGAGGCCTGGGAGCTTGAGGGTTCTGCGCAGTATCTTTGCAGTTCGTAGAACTGCACTCTTCTGGATCAGGATGTCTAATGTATTTTCAGAGATCTGCTGTAACCACTCCTTCAGTTTGGGGGGGTCATTGCCCTGAGTGCCCCAATGACCACGGGTATCACTGATGCCTTGATCTTCCAGCTCTTCTCTGAGCCCCTGGTATTTCTCTAGTTTTTCTTGTTCTTTTTTCTTGATGTTGCAGGACCTGGTGGTCTTGTCTGGTGTGGTAGATCTGGGCTTTTATTGCTCTGGTGCTCACGGCCTGCACCTGTGCAGCCATGATGAGTGCCTCTGTGCTGTCCTTCAGTCTTGCTTTGTCTAGCCATTGGTAGGATTTCCACTTCGATTATGTTCTGGTTTTACATCCCGTCTATATATAATTTGGTCTAATACTGTCCTTTGGGAAAAACACACTGTTTTTTTTAGATGTTTAATTTCTTAAATGGGTTCATAACTAAAGTAACTATCCACTTAGCACCGTGTTAGTTTTTGGTGTGAATGTTCAAAATAAACAATAAATTCTTGCTCTTTGGCTGTAAATAACAGAGAGAGATAATAGATTGTGACTCTGCTTGTTATGAAAGGAGCAGTTTGATTACTTTAATTAGGACGCAGACTGTCCTGTGATCAGCAGAAAATCTGTGAAAACATACGGTTTTAATACATGGGTTAATACATTGGATGCTGCTGCAGTGTTTTTACCCTTGAACTTTGTTTTGAAAATTCTCGAGGAACAGAATAAAAACGAGAAGTTCGCCTTTCTCTACAAATTTCCAAATGTGCCGAAGATATCTCGTTCCCCGATTGGTTCCTCTGCCCAGCGCTGCTATTGTGCTGTGTGTGGAGTGTGCAGCTTTGATGATGTATTCTTTATTTAAAAGCTGCATCTGCTATGGGTAATTAAAAGAACCACTTACTTTGATCCTGACAAGCACCCGAACAAATCTGCACACTAACACTCTAACTGTTGTTGCTGAGCATCTGGAGGTAAAATGTGTAGCTTCGCTCAGCTCCTGCCATCCATGCAGACCGTGGAGTGTTTGTCATAATCAGATTGTGACATCAGCTAAGAACCCAGCAGACACTGCCTGTGTTGTCATTAAACAATCACTGAGCAACGGGCAACGCAGAGAAAAATGAGAAGAGCAAAAAACACTCAAGCAGTTCTGATGAATAGCAAACAATTGTCCCTGTTTAACAGCGTCTTGCACCACTGAAAAAGGATGCCTGGGCTCAAAATTTTAATATAGTCTTGCTTTAATAAATAATTTAAAACTTTTTAAAATACCTGTTAAAAAATGTCCTTTAAGTTTCAGAGTTAATTTTACTTCCAAAGCTTAAACCCTAACGTGCAGATAGTTTCTATATTGGGCCCTATTGTGGAGGTCTGTGCAAATAAGGTCAATGTTTGAAAGTCAGTTTTTTTTTTTTTACATCTAATAAAGTTGTAGATAATTTGTTTTATTTTCTCAACCCCCACTGGGCAAAGACACAATACATGATTTCTAGGTCACCTTTGTATGTCTAAGTTTGGTCCCCTGAAACTGCAGAATAAAACGCCAGATGACCCCTTTTTGTCCAACATCTACATAAATGTAGTGCAGATGTAGTGTTAATGGTTTATATAAATCTCTTGAAAGTTTATATAACTTATTTAGTGTATCCTTTTGGCTGCTATTTAGGCATCATCACAGTACGCCATTACACATTTCGAGGGTTTTTTTTTTGCCAGATGTAAACAGTAATTGAACCAAGGTAGGTTGCATTACATGTTAAGACTGTTGCTTTCAAATTACACTTTCAATTTTCTTTTTTTTTTATATCAATTTCAGGTCATTTAAAGAATCATTACAGCCAATACCAATGAATATACTTGCAGTATGATAAAATATTAGGATTATCATAATTGACTGAATAAAACTGAATTTTGATATTAAAGAATGAGGAAAAAATTGTGTGTTTAATAAAGTTACCTAATCATATACATTAGCTGGCAGTGTGTACCTATGAATTTATTTGGCTCCTGCCTTAATCAGAAGAAAAATCTCCTGCAGAAACACATCTCTTATTGGCTGAAGTACCATGTGATCATGACCTAACCAATCAGTGACGGCATTACTGAGGAGCATCCTGAACATCATCCCTAGGCACTAACCCTCAGTTTGAACATTCCTGTGGAGGTTCTCCACATTACGGGCCGTCCCAAGCCACGTAGTGCGTAGGGCGAGTGGACCATTCAGCCTAGAATTTGGTAGCAGGTGTATTGGGGAACTAATGTTGGAGGAAACATGTGAAATCAAATGTCAATTCCTCTGGTTTGCTGCATCTTCGTCACATTGACAGAAAATCACAAGCTAGGAAAAAGAAAAAAGACATAATTGATGTCAAAAGGAAAGGTCCTCTTTCAAATACGGTAGTTTTTTTGGCAATACAATCTGTATGACACAAGTAAACAGCAATTTGTTTGGATATTTGACATTATAGTTGACTGCATCTTGCAAAATATATAAAATATTAGCAGATATGTGTAATAAAGAGATTGTGTTTTTTATAAAAACTTCTTTAATCAGTTCTTATGGTGTGGTGCATGATCTTGGGCCTCCAGGGTAACACATCAACTGCAACAGTTTGATATACTTTTTTTATTCATTCTGTGAAAATCATAAAACAAAAGAACTGTTAAATGCTTGAAAGTTTTTTACATTCACAAGTTAAGGACTGCAACAGCTTCTATGTGGAATAAAAAGTGTCTAAACTTGTGTCTAAGCTAATTTTTAAAAGCTAACGATAAATTACCCGAAGCAAAATATTTTCATTCAAACTATTGAAGTGACGGTATAATGTGGTCAACTCTGTCAAAGAAATAGTTTCTCCCATCTTGGAGAACATTCTGGCATGTTGATCTGTTTATTTTGTGATAACAGTTCTTACTGTCGCTACTACTCCCCTCTCCCAAGTCTCATTTATCATTTTCCAATTTCCTAGCCTAAGCAGAGGTCAGTTAAATGTCCTCCTTCAATGTGCACCAAAATGATCCTACCTTATCCGTGGTATATCATTTCTGAGCTTCAAATCTCCCCACTGATAACTTTCAGTTGACTTTATAGTGGCTTAGGGGAATTGTCTGGGAAAGGTTGGAGGATTATTTACTCCTGGGCTTCAAGCTGTTTTCTAATACAGTTATCTGAGGTGGTACTTTCTGGTTCCTGTGTTTGTTGTATAGTGGAGTCTCTATGAAGAATATCAATGAATATTTGTCCTGTTTTACTTGATTTAATTGATTTCTAATTGATTTCTGGCTTACTGCTAAATAAAAGCTCAAATCTATATATTTCTCAGGAAATGTCAGGTCCCTGTGCTCCACTTTATGTTCTTAACAATTAGTCAGGACTACTTTTGCATTAATGGTTACATCAGGGATACATGCTATGGGGATAAACAGCTTGTGGCTGTGCATGGTTGATGAGGCACTTTAATACCAGCATTCAGTCAGTCTGTATTGTCAGTCTGTTTTCCATCATCTTCTTGATAATATGGCGCCCATTCCCTGTGAGGGCGATGTTATCAGGGGAGTGGTAGCCTAGTGATTAGGGCACTGTGCTCGGGTACTGGAGGTTCTGAGTTCAAGTACCACTCATTTCCCACAGAGTGCCACTCTGGGTCCTTTTGCAAGACCCTTAACCCCACACTGCTCCCTGGGAGCCGCACAGTGGCAGCCCACTGCTCCCCAATGGGATGGGTCAAATGCAGACAGTTAACTTCACTGCTTTGTAGTTGTGACAGTGTAATGACAATAAAGTTTAATTTTCTTCTGTTCTGTGGGATGTAGTTCTCTGGAGTTTGCTCCAGGCACAGAAATGCCATGATCATTAAAGCAGGTACGTCTGATGGTGTGAGCAGGTTCCAGGTCCGGCTGGAAAATGAAATCATTTTTTTTTCTCACAAAGCTTGTGAACAGAGGGGGGCGAGGGGTGCTCTGACTTGATGGCTGCACTGATGATGGACTTGATCAAACAGCAGACTAACAGCTAGGGTTGTCAAAAGTATCGATACTCAAAAAAGTATAGATACTGAAACATTGTATCCGGATACAATACTCATTTTCAAAAGTATCGATACAGCCATCTAAAGTGCAGAATAGTGGAAAATGCACTTTCTGAACACTGTGTGATTGAATAATTCTGTGCATTTTTCAGTTTCAGACTTTTTTTTAACAGGTGCAGCTGCTGAGAATTATTTTTATCAAGCTTGCATAATATTGTGCGCAGCATACAACCTCAAAATATTATTCTTATTGTTTTTTTTATTTATTTCTTGTATTTTTTTAGTAATGAAAATATTTCTGTTGAATTTTAGAGTCTTTGTTTTTATTCTTGTGATATCGAAAAAGGTATTGAGTATCGAATATTTTTTCTTAGTATCGTATCGAGTTGAAAAGTTTAGTATCGTGACAACCCTAACAACAGCTAATAAATACATTTGTGTAAAAAAGCATGTGGTCTTTCATGCAACCCTGTCCGTGAAATCCTTATGAAAAATTTGCGTTAGGAGCAGCTCAACAAGAGCCAAGCAGCAGCCGGGCACATGTCCTGGATACCGTGTCTAGTGGCTCATTGATAACTTACTCAAGCTGTTGTCTTTTTTTTTCTCGCACAAACCCTTAAATGATGTTTGCTCTACAGTATTGGTTATCCTTGTTTCAATTAAACCTCTTTAAAGTTGAGTCCTTCCACACAGCCCTCTATAAACAGCCAGGTAACCATTCCTGCAGAGGCTGCCAGTGACTTCCTGTTAGACAGCTGTCCACTCGTAATGTCTTCCCCATGATTTGGTGGGTCATACAAGTTCTTTAGTGTTCATGTTTTTGTTTTTTGTAGTGTTATGTTGTATTATATGTTTCTATGTAATTAAATTTTAAGTTTTTTGTAAAACGTTTAAAATTGACCAAAAAATTGCAGTATAAAATAAATCTATAATTTAATTTTTTTTTTTTACGTATTAAATATGTTATCTTTCCTTGGGAAAAAATACCATTGGCTGCAGAAAAAAATGTCTGAAACTTGTTTTTTTGTGGGAGAAAGTGGCAGCTAAGGGCCTCGCTACCTTTGAATCATGTTTTAAAGCAGATGGCCAAACAGGATATACTGCTCAGCTGTTCTTTCCCCTCCGGCCTTTTATCATCCTGACACATTTTGTTTCTTGTTTTCCGTCAGCTACTTGATGGATGGAGCGGAGTCTAGCTCTGAGAGTGAAATGGAGGTCGACGACCAGAGTGAGGAGGAAATGGAAACAGAGGTGAATTTGTCTTATAAGTGAGCCCAAAAATAATCGGGAAGATACAAAAAGGAAACCTGTGAAATGTAACAATCCAGGATCCTGCTGTTCTTGCAGATTCCACAGAAGCAGGTGAGACAAGTCACCCCGAAAAAGACACCAGAGAAAAAGGATAAGGATGATGAATACGGGGGCTCAACTGATGTTGATGAACCAGGTAATTAGTAGTTTCAAAGCACACTTTCTGGTAAACACATCATTTATTTTAACTCTGTCTTTCTTTATACCTTATCGTTTTAATTCCTTGAATTTGATTAAATGTTTTTTATGTTGTTTCTAATGACTGCAATATTGGGTTTTAAAATTGGGTTTCAACGTGTTTATAAACCAAGGCGCAGCTGAGATTAATAAAACAACAAGGTTTAGTTTTAAATGTGGACGTTTAATTGAAGATGTTATTCAGATGAATAGTTAACTCACAATATTAAAATGAAATGTTGTTTGGATACAGAGCAAGTCCAAAATATTTCTTCATATTAAATTCTCTAAGGCAAAAACAAGTACGTATTAATTTAACCTGTGTTTACAAATGAAGTTAGACTTACACCAACAGCTTAGATTAAAGTAAAAACTAAAGAAAACACATTCCTTCTCTAAGGATCTTTAATAAAGCACCTTCCATCTTCATGCTCAAAGTTCATTTATAATTTACACACAGGGACACTTCTGCTGTCTTTCGTACTTCTTTAAGAGAGTTTTACTTTTTTTAAATGACTTTTGCGTTAGATTGCTCTGAATCTCTTTTTTTGTTTAATCCAGCTCTTCTGCCAGTGCATGGAGTCCTCTTCTCATTATGGCTCATTTTAAAGTTTCCTTCTACATGGGCCAAGTATTAATAAAGTTTCAGTCAGCCTGTGTGCAGCTGGTGGATGACCTACTTATTTGCTAATTACTCTGCATCTTGCCCCAATCTCTAACCCGACCCTATATCATTTCTGCAATCCTTTTTTTTCTTAACTGTTTTTAGTACAGATTAGCAAATGTTCTTGCTAATCTGAAATAAAATCCTCTCAGTGAATTTACATTTATTCTGTAGTAGTCTTCTGATTTTCTGAAAGGTTAAATATGATTTAGTAAACCAAGAATCATGGATGCTGTCAATCAAATTTCCCCCTTTTCTTAGATCAAAGCCTATGCTAATTTCACCCGTTCATTAAGCCCAGCAAGTGCCGAACCTCATAATTTATTAACTTCACCTCCAAAATTGCATAAACAGCAAAGGTATATTTGAAGGAATACACCTTTTTTTTCTGAAGGTGTTAAAACCCTGTCACATTACTACATATATGCCTTTAGTTTTAGTGACACAATACAAGCTTACTGTGCATTTAAGAATAGATGGCAGAACGCTTTAATTCCCTGCTAAGACAGACTGCTGTTTATTATTGTAGATTTCCAAGAATTGTGCAGCATCCATGCAAATTGTGCCGAGTCTGTTATGTTTTGCCCCTGTAACCCTCCACCACTAGATCTGTTTCCATCAGTGTTTTTTAAATGCACGTTTTGAAATATATCAGAAAAGCTTGATGGAATCTGCAAAATTTGTAAAAAAAAAAAAAAAAAAAAAAACTCCCCCAAATTCGCAAAAAAAAAGAAGCTTTTACCCTTGCTTGAGGTGTTTTTTAGCTTTTGCAAAAAAAAAAAGGATTAATGTGAAAAACGGCGACCTGTCCAGGGTGTTCTCCGCCTTTCGCCCACGGACAGCTGGAGATGGGCACCAGCACCCCTCGTGACCCCAGCTGGGATAAAGCGTGATGGAAAATAGATGGATGTGCTAAAAAGGACATGTAAACACTTTTTTTGAATCAGCTCCTAATTTTACCGAACTTTTACTTCTCATGATTGATCAGCTGTCTCTGATGTCGACGTCTTCCAGGATTAATGCTTAAACATGCAGTTATATGCTTAAACATGTTTGGAAGCAATATTGCCATTACTAAATAATATTTTAATGGAAGAACAACTTCCCCGATTGCAACACATTGACTAAAACTTTCAACCTTTATTGATTTGTGATCAGTGCTGGATTGTAGCTTCTACTTCCTGTATATTAAAGCCATGTGACGACATAATGTGGAGGAAGACCTATGAAGACATTGTGGTTTGTGGTGCTTGGTTAATTCGCCTCAGACCCATATGCAAATTATCATTTCCATTTTTTTAAACTTTTGAGTTTGCTTAAAATTAAAATTTCAGTTGGATAGAAACACAGCTACTGCTACAAAGCTGAGGTCACTGTACTTCCCATATCACAACTTAACTTAAACCCACACCACACTATGCAAACTCTTCACTCATACCAGCATGCTATAGTCCAAAGTAGGTCCTCATCTTTATTAGATTGATTTAAAAGATACCTAAAAACATTGAGGCCTTATTAGGAGTGACGTGTAGTTATTTTCCATCAGTTGATCCCTAAGTACCACATCTAATCCAGAAAAACATGCTCTAATCAGAACTACTGCCAGTCCCTATTGTGAAGCAGTTTAGGTCTTTGTGATGCAGGTTTGTTTCCTAGTTGCTTTAGGAAGAGCATGCAAGGTAAAACTTTCTGTGGTGACTCCTAATATTACTAAAAAGATACAACAGACCTATTTATTCCACAAAATTTTAACATTTTTCCCCATTCAGACCCACAGAGAAACAGTTTCATTATTATCTGAGTAGCACAGTGTTTGATAGGTGACAGGATGATAGCAGCTTTAGGGAGTGACTAGTACAACGATAGAGAAGTAAAGCTATTTCTACATAAATGGCTCCCAGACTTTTACTGGTATTGACGGAGCATAGATCAAGTTCCAGAATTGTTTGCAGACATTTGCCCCCTCTGGCGACAACTTGAAATGATAGCGGTGTCACTTCAAGTAAGACAAAAAGCACTGCAGTCTACTGCCAAGTCTGCACAGGTCTTTAGTTTTAATGGACACATAACTCTTTGTTTTTAATGTCAACTGGAGTAAAAAGTTACAAATATTATAATTTTTTCCCTTTTAGCAAAAAGAGGGAAGATGTGACCATTTACTGTTGTCTTATTCTATCGTCAATCAGACATGGGGCCCTTTTTGTTTTCATTAGACTTGTGGTATGTTTTTACTCTTGAGTGGAATCTGAAGGGATTTTAGGTGAACTAGTGGTGAGTCTTTTGTGAACAATAGTGCACTACGTGTCACGGCTATGTGCACACTCAGGGCCGGATTTATCAAGGTTCCAATTTTGCGTGCAGTAATTTGCGCTCGCAAACTGGAATTTTGCGCGAGGGGC